TTTTTGATTGGCCAATCCCTAAAGGAAGTCCCAGGTACCTAGTAGAACTCTCTGGTCTGATCCCTTCCATTACTCTGCAAATATCTGCTTTGACACTAGCTGTGGTGTTCCTGCTAAAAAAAATTGAGGATTTTGCTAAGTTTACTCTTTGACCAGAGAATTCTTGGTATCTAGCCAGTAAATCAACCAGTCCTCGAGCTTGATAAGTATCTGCTTTACAAAACACCAAGCAATCATCAGCAAACAATAAATGGGTGAGGATAGGAGCCCCTCTAGCCACAGATAGACCCTTGAATCTCCCTCTAGTCTCCTCAGCTCTAATCATAGCAGATAGCAACTCAGAGATCAATAGAAACAGATATGGAGACAGGGGATCCCCTTGTCTCAAGCCCCTAGATGCAGCAATATTCCCACAGATATGACCATTCAAAGAGAAAGAAAAAGATAATGAGGATACACACTCCATGACCCACTGAACAAACTTCTTGGCAAATCCCATTTGAATCATAGTCAGACTAAGGCAATTCCATTCTACTCTGTCATATGCTTTCATCATGTCAAGTTTGATTGCCACATAGCAGTGTTTCCCTGACCTGTGCCTATTCAAAAAATGGATACCTTCCTGTGCAATGACCACATTGTCACTCAATTGTCTACTAGGCAGAAAAGCAGCCTGTGTTTCACTGACACAATCTTTGATGCACTGTCTTAGCCTCATAGCAATTATTTTTGAGATGATCTTGTAAAACACTGCATAAAGACTTATAGGCCGATATTGACTCAGAGATGAAGCATTAGCACATTTAGGTATCAATGTAATCAAGGTGTGATTCCAGTATGCCAACAATCTACCAGATTCAAAGAAGCTACACACAGCTTCACAGATATCATATTTAACAATGGGCAAAAAATGTTGAAAGAAAAGAGCAGGCATACCATCAGGACCAGGAGCCTTGTTAGGATTCATGGAAAAAAGTGCCATTTTAATCTCTGCTTCCTCTACAGGTGCCAGTAGGTCATTATTCATGGATTCTGTAATTGAGGTTGGAATATGTTGAAGAATTTCAGTCCCTCCCCTTGATCCCTCAGTGTTGAACAGCTCAGCATAGGATTGCTCTACATGTTATTCAATGGCCTCTTTAGTTTCGAAAATCTCATTTTGGCTACTGACTAGCCTGGAAATTGTGTTCTGCTTCCTTCTCTGCATCACAAATGCATGGAAAAATCGAGTATTTTGATCCCCTTCTCTCAGCCATTGTGTTCTAGCCTTCTGCTGCCAATATATTTCTTCTGAATTGTTGGCCTTGTCAATCTCCCTCTTCACTCTATCCCATTCCTCCCAATTTGTATTTCCTCCTTCTTGTCTCATTTCTTCCAATTTCATATAGAGGCTTGTAATGTGCCCTAGCTGTTCAGCCCTAAAATGCTTACTCCATAAGAGCAGAGCTAACCTTGTCCTCTTTATCTTCTCTTTCACATAGAACATAGGTGTGCCCCCTTGAGAAACATTCCATGCTCCCCGGATAACCTCCTTAACCCCTTGTTGGGCTACCCATCTTTTATCAAAATGGAACCGCCTCTTGATTTTCTGAGTGTGTGGATCAGTTTCAATACACAGCATGTAGTGGTCTGAGGAACTTCTGAAAACTGAAGTAGTTTGAGTCATTGGGTAATGTTGTAGCCAGCCAAGTGATACATATGCTTTGTCCAGGGCCTCTTCAACATAGCCTTCACCCTCCCTGTTATTACCCCATGTGAAGGGATAACCCTTTTTGTGCACCTCCTCCATCTGCATATTTGCAATAAAGGACTGAAACCCCTAGAAGCTGGATTATGATCTCACCCTTCCTCCTTGCTTATCTTCTGGTTTGCTCAGGTCATTCCAGTCACCAGCTAAACACCAAATATCTCCCCATGCCTGCTTCATGATCTCCAAAGCTCTCCATTGTTCTTCTCTAAGTCTTCTGTCAGTACTCAGATAAACAAAAGAAACCCATCTAGAATGCTCATAAGCAGGTAATTTAAACTCTACTGCTATACAAAAAGAGTGGCAGATGATTTGAATAATTTCCACATCCTTACCCCATAAAAGCATTAGACCACCACTTAAGCCTATAGGATCAATAATTTTACATCTATCAGCAAAACCTAATTTCTTACAAACCGAAAAAACAAAGCCATTTGAATTTTTTGTTTCTGATATAAACACAAAATGGGGGTGGTGGGTCTTCAGAGACTCCTTGATCTGGGGAACTGTAGAGGGTCCATCCAGACCTCTACAATTCCATACCATAGCCCTCATGATTCACCTTGGGGCCATTTTAGGCTAGCCTTCTCCACCTCTTCGTCATTGTACTTGGTCTTCTTTGCACTGTTGCTTGTCTCCAATATATTGTCTTCCTCAATGATTTGCAAATCTTGGCTAGCTCTCCCTCTCTTATTTCCAATCTCTGCCATGTCCCCCTCATCTTCTTGTTTCTTCAACAATCTCTCTTCTTTGGATGAGATCCTCTTCCATGTTTTTGTCTTTGGCTTGTTTGAATCTTCCTCTCCTTTTTGAGGTCCTATGATAATTTTAGTTATAGGTCCCTCAATCTCGGCAGCTTCTGCATCCATAACATCCTCTTGATCAATCCTCATATCTTGATTTTTATCCTTCTGCTTTCCCTGCATAGACTCCTGGGCCTTTTGACTCTATGGTGTTGCAACCTATTTAAGAGAACTCGACTCTACTATACTCAAGTTGTGTGGGGTTTCCACAGTTTTTGGTGTGTCTGGTAGTGGACTGACTCCCCCCTGATTGACAAGTCTGTGCATTGACTCTTTAGGAAGATCTGGTCTTAAGGATGACCCTGGATTTCCCTCTTGATCATGTTCGGTTGATCTGCTCTGGAATCCTGAGTGACTATTCCCTCTGGTTTCATAAGTTTTCAGCCATTCCCCATACTGCCTATCTTTAACATCCTCTTTTGCTATATCTATCATTTTGCTTTTGCAGTCCCTATAAAGGTGGCCAATTTTGCCACAGTAATAGTATAAATTCACGAGCCTCTCGTATTTGAAGGTGACCATGGTAGTTTGATCTCCTAGCCTTATAGCTGCACATCTTGGGATAGACTCTTCAAGATCAAGTACTACCAATAGCCTTAACACTCTTCCTCCATTAACTCCGGCATTAACTATCCCCACGTTTTTCACCCTCTTGAACACTTTCCCCACTTTAATCCCCACTTCTGTGCTCAGCCATTCGAGTGGTACCTGGTTGACTTGAACCCAAATGCTCAATTCACTAAAACAACTATCCCCATCATTGATCCCTTTCCTCCATTCCTGCAATATCAGGTATTGATTGTCAAAAATCCAATTTGTACCTGACATCATCTTGCTCATATCGTTCTTATCTTCGAAGATGAACTGAAAAAAATTGGGACTGATTTCCCTCACATCCACTGTGTGGTGAATCCGCCATATAGCTATCATTGCCCTTCGCAAACCCGTAATAGATGCCCGTCTGGTGCCTATAATTTTGCCCACTAAACTTCGGCTACATTCCTCCGCGCTCAATTTGATGTCGTCACTCCTAATGTCGATCACTGTATTTTCCTTCCTCGACAGTGAAAATTTCTGTAACCGCTGGGTCATGTCTTCCGTTAATCCTCCATCTACTCCGCCTTCCTGAGTTGGTGTCTCCATCTTTTATCTTTAGAAATGCTACTGACCAGCCCCTAAACCGTCGGTGTGTTAGATGAGAGTCACTAAATCCGTGAAATGAGAAAATGACAACCACCAGAATAGGAAACCCTAAATTGGAAAATATCGCACTCCCATGAGAGAGAATCTTTAGTTACTAGTATTGTTATTCGTGCAAATGTGCAAGTATTTAAAATAAAATAATTTTAGCAATTTAGGTCATCAAAGATAGGTTCAAATTTCAATTGTCAATTTGGATTTCAATGATAAATTATTTTGATTCTAGAAAAAATTTAAATTATCAATTTAATAGTATAATTTTTATAAGTCTAGGCCTCGAAAGATCGTCAATTATCAGTTTCAAACTTAAAAGATAACATCTATCGATTTAATAATGAAAAATATAAATTATTAATTTAAAACTCGAAAGATTAACATTGTTATACTCTTTTTCACGTGTGATTATATTTCAAGAAAAAAATAATCAAAACACTGAAATATAAATATAAGCTAAAAAAGAGAAAAAAAAAATAATTAAATTTTTACTTTAATCTCGATTTCATTATGTAAGCGACCGTGGCAGAGTTGATTTTTTTTAGTTTTTTAATTGTATTCATATACTAATTATTTATAAATTTTTATATTTTAATAATTAATGAGGTATACACAAGTTTACAGGTGTTATTTATTTCTTCTAATTTTTATTTATATTGAGATTTTTTTTTCTCTTAATAACGTGCAATATGAGATACCATACCAGAACGACTTAACACAAGAAGCGGACCAATTGAATAAAGTAAACCACCAAGTCGATAGGAGGTCGAGGGCTAGAGGAGTCAGAGAGTCATCATGTCGATGGTGACGTCACAGATGGTGAGGATCGCCGACAGGTCGAGCTGGGGTCCTCGAACGGCCTGATAGAAATTCGACGTAGAGGTATAATTGCCGATGGATCGATCTGGTGAATGGCGTACGAGCTTAATGTAGAAGGTTCTCTACTTCGAGGTGAATCAGATTAGTCGAACAATTAGACTGTCTAATAGAAAGACTAATAAATAAGAAAGAATATTATGAGGATAAGAACAACACGTGGATTAGGACATGTCGCCTAATATAACCGAGCAGTTTGGGCACTCGAACAGCATAAACGGGCAGTTCGGGCACTTGGACAGCCTATCCGGACAGGCTTGGGTAACAATATATCACCCCTATGTAAAAGGGCGAAGTATGTGTTGGGGCTCGGTTAGGAACATCGAATTTATGCAACATAGGGTTTGGAATAATTTAAATAATTCATAGATATTAGATAGTGGCTCTTTTTTGGAACCCTTAATCAAATTAATTTAACAAGGAAACCCTTGTTCCAAACCCTTATTCAAAATTTCAAGGATTTGTGGCAAAACCTCCATCCGTCACCCAAAAAAAAGCCTGAAAACTATCCTCTCTGTAGAGCTGAGGCTGCAGCTGCTTCATCCGATGGGCAATCTTTGAACGGAGAAAAAAAAGAGCCAAAATTTATGGGCATTGAGATTGTGACCTTAAAAAAAATATTACCCCTCGGGATGATGTGTTTTTTGCATTTTGTTCAATTACACAATCCTCAGGGACACTAAGGATGTGTTGGTCGTGACAGCCAAAGGTTCAAGTACCTTTCTTGAAAACATAGGTGAATTTGCCAATCGCTGTTGGGTTTATGCTGCCGTACGCTAAGTTGGCTAATGTGTTGACAAAAGATACTCTTTTTTACTCCGTTATCCTGCCATTTATAGCCTTCTTCGGGGCATTTGGGTTTGTGCTTGTTATTATGAGGATTTGGAGTTTCTGCATGTTCTATGTTATGGCTGAGCTTTGGGGTAGTGTGGTTGTCTCTGTCCTGTTTTGGGGGTTTGCTAATCAGGTGATTCTCTCAGTATAGTACATAATATGATTTGGGTTATTGACTTGTTTGACTTTTATCAAGATTTCATAGTGATGTGAACTTAAGCTATTATTGTGTATGGATTACAATGAGATGGTGTGAAGCTATCCTACAATTCATACTTTCTCCAGATGATAATTGATATTATTCAACTCCAGGCTCTTGTAATTGTCTGTAGTTTTCTGGATTAGGATGAATAGATTTTTTTTATATAATTTTTTCAACACTGTTATTTCAATTCCATTGTTGTATTAAATCTATACTGAATCTTCTGAATCATTACATTTCAATTCCATGCTCAATCAGTGATATAATTAGTGATTCATTTCTTGCTGTAGGAAGTTGTTTCTCTATTTAGCTATAAAACCTTTCTTTGGTTTTTATCTGCACTTGAAATAATTATATAACTGCATCTGTTTTCTTGTTCTAACTGCAGATATTTCATTTACATTTCAAGCCTGAAACCCCCTCTCATGGTTTGCATTGACCTAACAAATGTTGTTCAGATAATTATCATTTTGGAAATTGTTGCTTTTTCTGTCATTAGCTTAGACCTTTGATGTTGTCTTTTGCAACTATTGCTCGGCCTTGCTGTATAAGATAATTTCTCTTGCTAGTGCAACCTTCTTAAATGCACTAACATTGTTTTTAAGTGGTTTGCATACATTTGATTATAATATCGTCTGGATGACAAAACAGTAAAATTACTACATCCCCTCCTTGTAGATAACCACTGTTGATTAGGCTAAAAAATTCGATCTTCTATTTGGGCTTGGAGCTAATGTTGCACTCATTTTCTTGGGTCGAACTGTGAAATACTTCTCTCAGATTAGACAAAACTCAGGCCCAAGTGTTGATAGTTGGGCCATCTCATTGAAGGGGATGATGAGACAAAACTTAGGCCCAGGTATCTAGACTTTTATTCTGCATATTTTTTTTGGCCTATGTTATAGAGATTTTATTATTGTTATTTATAAAAGTGTTTGTGAAAGATGTTTTTGCTAATATTATTTCCAAAACAGTAGTTAATGCAAACTTTTCTTGTAGTTACTGTAAAAATTGATTGTGGATTTTACAATTCTAGCTTACATTTCAATTAATTTTGTGTGAAAACTGTCTGATGCGACGGGATTGCTTGGGAAGTGTTCACAAACACTTGAAAGAGCGATTGTCAACTTTTGGCTTAAGAAAAAAATAAAAAAGTTTTTTAGTGTTCTTAATTGCCTTTGTTTTTCGTTTTATTAGTACTCAGAAGCATGGTGTAAGGTGCTTCTGATCTTGCAAAAGTATTTATTGTCATTCTGTAATAAAATACGATTTTATTTTTATTCTTATCCTCCACTTCTGCTTTAAGGTTCGGTAGCCTATCAAATAATAAGATATTTTTTTTTTTTTTTTTTTCGTTTTATAAATAAACGCTCATTCCAAAACCATCTTTCGCTCCTAACTTTATTGATTTTTTTATTCCCAAAATCTTAACAGTTTTTCGTTTATTATGTGTCGTGCTCTTCTTGAACTTTTATTTTTTATTTTAATAAAAGCAATGAATTATTGACAAAGAAATCCTATTTAGTTACACCACATCAGGAAAATGAGGTAAAAAAAAATAATAGTTGACTCCTTGTGTACATTCATAACACTGTTTTCCTTTTCTTTTATTTTCCTTGGGTTCTTATTTAAACAAAAAATCAGGTTGTATGGTTGTTTAAAACATCGAACGGGGTTAGGATTTAACTTATCTTGTTATATTTTATCTCACATTATTATTAGTTTCTTTTTTTAATTTGGTTGTATTAACCTGGAGCTCTTTGTTGTTCTTCAAACATGAATACAACTGAAAATATTGATGATTAATTTTAGGAGCCCAAGTTGTTTAAGTACTAACCCCAATATATCAAATCCCTGCTGATAGGAACACTTTAGAGTCGAATACGTTATACGAGGTTTAAAATCAAAGTGATAAAAGAAAAAGGTTTAGGAAACCACAAAAAACATTGGAAAGATAAATGCGAATATTCCTTTCGGATGACATTCTGTCGTGCGGGGCTTATCCTATATTCCGTGAATAAAATTCAGTATTGCACACACATCTCCTCATCTTCTCTCACATCATCTTATTATAGCCACTCGTTCGTAACAATGAAAGTTGTGAGTGATGTGAGATGTTGTAGCCCTACAAGTAACATACCTGCAGACAAACTTAATCAAGGGAAATAGATGAAATACACAATGAAAACGAAAGGCTTAAATGAATAATAAAATAAAAAAGGGTAAATTCCATTTTGGTCCTCCATATTTAGGGGTATTCAGACTGAGTCCCTATTATGTTTTGGTGCCCAATTTTAGTCCTTAAAACAAAAAAATGAGTCCCTATTATGTTTTGGTGCCCAATTTTAGTCCTTAAAATAAAAAAATGAGTCCCTATTATGTTTTGGTGTCCAATTTTAGTCCTTAAAACAAAAAAATGAGACCCTATTATGTTTTGGTGCCCAATTTTAGTCCATAAAATAAAGAAATGTAGTCCCTTTACCTCAATTTCTGTGAATTAACGGTCCATTTTGCTCGACTGTGATATTCTTAATTTTTGTTAAAATTTGTTGATTAATGTCAACTTTGACCAAAGAAAAATAAAAGAAAATTTAAATGCTGAAAATATATTGATAAAAAATTAAACTAAAACAAGAAATTGCACTAAATTTAATTAAAATTTTGCTCGTCTGATTTCTATTTCCCTAGCATTCGCGCTGCGGAGCAAGCCTGGAATCACAGCTAATGCTCTTGCACCCATTTCCGGGTCATGCCATCGAAAAAAATTGCACTTATCAACCCTCTGTTTTTTAACCATTTCTTATCATATTTCAATTGAAGTTCACAGAAAGTACTTACAGGATATAGAGGGCAACTCAAGAATCTTCTACCGAGATTATCATCCTTCCAGCATGTAGTCAACTTTGCAACCAGCTCACATCTACAAAATACCACACCATTTCCATCCATTTGATCGGATTTAGTCCCTAGGCGGTTAGGGTTTTTTTTTTTTTTTTTTTTTTTTTTTGTTTCACTGCAGTTCACTATTTCTGTCTTTTATTTTACTTTTTCAGCATTTAAATTTTCTTTTATTTTTCTTTGGTCAAAGTTGACATTAGTCAACAAATTTTAAAAAAATAAAGAACATAACGGTCGAGCAAAAATGGACCGTTAATTCACATAAATTGAGGTAAAGGGACTACAAAACATAATAGGGATTAAGTCTGGATACCCTAAACATGGAGGACTAAAAGTGGATTTTTCCCAATTATAGGGACTACATTTTTTTGTTTTAAGGACTAAAATTGGGCACTAAAACATAATAGGGACTCAGTCTGGATACCCCCTAAACATGGAGGACCAAAAGTGGACCTTCCCCAATAAAAAAAATGGATATAAAAATGTTTTAAGTATTTTGTTCAAGTATAATACTCTCTCCTTTTTTAATAAGTGTGGTTTCGAGAAGTTGCACAGTAACTAATAGTATTTTTTTTGTCAATAATAACCTTCATTAATGAGGATAGAGATGAAGGTTTTTTTACCTAAAAAAATAAGAAAAAATGAAGTGGACAAGAACAAAACAAAAAAAAAATTGTGGAAATAAATAAAAAGCACGTATTCTGAGAATACGTTTTTTTGTAATTTTCGTTGAAAAACGTATTTGCATAATACGTTTTTCATTGAAACACGTATTCTGAGAATACGTTTTTCAATGACAATTTGTAAATAAAACGTATTCTCAGAATACGGGTTTTTGATTTTGGTCCAGATTTTTGTTTTTTATATATAAATTTCCCATTTTCAAATGACTTGTTCCTTGTTTGAAATGCCAAAAAATAAAAGAACAATAATTAAAAAAAAAATTGATTTTCCTTCGTTTGTTTTGTAAGCTAATAGATTGGGATATATAATATTAATGGTGATTTTTTAACTTAAAAATGGCAAAAATTAATCTCAAAGAGAAATTGTCCAAAAATAAATACTACCTCTTTTTTTTTATAAATGTCATTTTAATTTTATCGACGTTTTAGATCTTTTGTACATATTTTTCCATTATTACCCTTATCTAGCTAATAAATACACTACGTCTTTTCATATTCACTCTTTATTTTTTCTCGAAACATTCATCTCTATCCTCATTAATGAGGATTATTATTGGCAAAAAAAAATTTTTTTAATTAGTGTGCAACTTCTCAAAACGACATCTATTAAAAAAAGAAGAAAGTATTAAATTTGTGTTTGTTCAAAGCAATGGTTGCATGACATTGACCCGAGTTGCATTTGAAGGTGTGATTTGATACGATTTTGATTTAGTTTTGACTAATTATTTTATTAATTATAGTTAATTTTAAAAAAGGCGGTATGATTAGTTGTGAGAAGGATTTGGAGTTTATATTTAAATAACATTTAAAGTAAAACAATTAAAGTTGATTTAATTTAAAGTAGGAGAGAGATGATGCAAAATGATGTAAAAATAAGAGATAGATAATGTAAATAGAGTCTGTACCGCATCTTGGAATTACACATGTGACCAAGGGGGTACGAAGTACGAACTACATAATAGGAGACACAAACACCCACAAAACAAAACTCCAAAACGGTGACACGAACTTTATATAGGAGACTAAAAGTCAGACGTAATTGAACTAATAAAATAAAAAGCAAAGAAAAATAAAAACAACACACACCTAATACACAAATAGACTAAACAACAACAACAACAACAACAACATACCCAGTATATTCCCAACAGGTTGGGATCTGGGGGGTCAGTTGTACGCAGACCTTACCCTTGTAATTATACAAGGAGGCTGTTTCCATAGCGACCGAAGGTGCATTGCGCCGTTTGATATAATTTTTTTTTCTAGAAACTTCACTAATAGAAGAAACACTAGAATTTAATTGAGTCATTTTGATCTACTCCATTATTAGCACTATGCCAGGAGAATTGTCAACAATGACTCTTTCAGCTCCATTTGCAATGGACAAAATACACAAATAGACTAAGACCACACAAATTGCACTATCACCCAAACCTAGTTGAATTTACATTCAATCACCTGTGCCTACATTTTAAATTGGACCTGACTTAATGCATACATAACATTTGTATCGATGTAATTGTAAGCAATTCTTTTAATCAATGTTATCAAAATCGGACCGTTCATCGAACCGGTAAAGCTACCGGTTCAATGGCTCACTGGTCGGACCAGTGGTTGAATCGGTCGAACCGGTTTAATTAATATATAATTTTTTATATATTTTATATATATAATATATAATTGCATATATTTTTATCATCACATTTATAGTATATAATGACATTTCTCTATATACGAAATAATTGTATTTATTTTTTATCATTAGTATCATATGTATAAATATAATCGGATATATTTTTATCATTATCAAATTAAGTGTTAAAGTGTTAAAATTATTATTAAGGTTTTTATTTATTTTGTAAAGTGTAAATTTGTTGTAATAATATAATGTCTGATTTTATTTTATTTTTTTTAAGGTAGGCTTTTAGATTTTAGTTTTGATAAAGTCTTGAATTTATGTAACATTGCAATTTTACATACGTTTGTACAAAAAAGAAAGAGAAATAAATGGCCCATAAGTACAGGCCAATTTTAGATGTGTTAAAAAAAAATGGCCCAGTGGAAAACTGAAAAACACATTGGGCTTTTAGAATTGGCCCAAGCAAAAAAGGAAGAATAGGAAAAGCAGAAAATGTCATATCCCACATCGGGAAAACATAAAACAAACGAAGTGTATTTAATAAAGAAGACTGCTTGCACAAATGAATTCAAACCGGTTGAGTCGCTAGAACCGGTACGGGTTTGCCGGTTTTGCCCGTTTTCGAACGGTTTAAGCGGTTCCTAAACGGTTTTTACTTTCAGCGGTTCAATACCTCAAACCGGACCGTTATGATGTCCGGTTCCCGGTTGAACCGGTCAGACCGGCCGGTCCGGTCCGATTTTAATAACATTGCTTTTAATACAATTCTTTTTATTTTTCCTCCTTTTCCGATTACATTCACATATTATTTAGTTATTATGATTATTTTTCCGTACATTTAGGGTGTGTTTGTTTATTAAAAATGTCAATTCAAACTCAAAATCTAACTCAATTTAACCTAATTCCACATCCTTAATATTACCAATATAATTAAATAATATCTATCAATTATCCTTACACATCACATCAACTTTAATTCACTATTTATCCACTCACATAATTTTAGCTAGCCACCACTTCAAAACATTTTCTATTACTTTTACATCAAATCAATTTTAATTATTTTATTTTAAAAGATTATTTTAGTATAACCTCAAAACTCCACTAAAAACTAGTCATACAACATTTTCCAATATTAACTCTGCTTAACTAAAAAAAATTCATTTTAAGCGAATATATTTGTATCCAAGCACGCCTTTAGCATTCATGAATCGTGGCTAGTAAGCTCGAGTTTGCCGCCTAAATGAAATCCTCACTTATATAAGGTAATTGTTTTGTAATATAAATTGGGCACCCATTGAGTTAGACTAGTGTGGTACCCGTGTGATGCACGAGCTAGTAATATTAAAGAAAATATTTGGATTTGGATGATGAGATTATTGTTCAAAATATAAAATGTATATATTTATTGGAATAAAACAAAATGTTATTTATATATTATTAAACATCTCCTTGTACACAACATTCTTTTTTGAGTTTTTAGTACATCGTCATGCTACAAATTAAAATCTTCAAACCATTACGATTCGTAATGCGTGAAACAACTACATACACTTAACCGTGACTGAACACTGATTTCTTCAAGAATAAGACAACATGCGATATCCATTTTTTTTAGCATTTGACAATATATCTTTTGTCCCCTTTTTTCGATTGTATTTGATATGATATGGTATCTCTTAATGAAATACAATAATTTTTCAATTTAAATCGGGAGTATATATCACAGTTAGTGTGTTGAAATGATTTGCAAAGATTGATTTGTATCTATGGGGTAGTGTTTGAAGCATGTGTTATATATACGTTTAACAATAGCTAAATAAAAAAAATATGTTAAGATATAATAGTTTTGGTAGTAAATCAATTGGTATGTTAAATAAATGAAAGATATAATATGAAAGAAACAACTCTGATAATTGATTAGTAGAAAAAAATCCTTTAAGACATAAAAAATGTTCGTCTTTTTTTATTGCATTTGATATTGTATCTTTTAATAAAATAGAGTGGATTTTGTTTTTTAAAAAAAAAAACAAATCGGTAGTGTTTTTCTGACAATTAATGTGTTGAGATGATTTGTATAGATTGATTTGTATGTATCGAGATTATTATTTAAAACATGTGCTATATTTACGTTTAGTGTGTCTAGAGGTATGCTTGATAACCTGAAACGTCTATTCATTTTTCACTCTAAGTACTGCACTAATCTTCCATGAACAGTCACTATCACCACACTTAGCTCTAAGATACTACTTTACATTCTTTCTAATTATCTTCTTTTTGGTTTAATGGCACTTAACCGCATAATTTCTCTAAGCTTAGATTTTGTGCTAAACATCACCCATATCTTGAAGTTTGGTTCATACAAGTATTCGGATTAAACACATGAAACTAATAACTCACTTTATCCTCATCAGAGCTATCTTCACTATTTAACTCCTCTTGGTATACCACACCTTCATCCCCTTCACTTCCATTTTCATTTTTATTTTCATTTTCAGATTCATTTTCAGAACTCTGACCACCTAACCATTCAACATCTTTATCAACATTGTCATCAAACAACTTATCATCTATTTTGTCGTCCCCCAGTATCATATTCTCAATCATAAAGTTGATCACTGGTTTCATCTTCATCTCTTTGAAGATTTTCACAATCCACCGCACACTCTCCTTTACTACACTCACACAAGTTCACTCCACACTCTCCCTTACTACCCTCACCCGAGCACTTCACAGTCACTCTTACCATTTCCCTCCCCCCCCAACTCCCACCCAAGCTCATTGCACACTCTCTCATCCCCCTCTCCCAAACTCATTTCATAGTGACCCTTATCCTCCTTATCCAAGCTCATTGCACACTCTCCCTTATCCCTCTCGCTCAGATTCATTTCCCAATCACCTTATCCCCCTCAGCCAGATTCATCTCAACCTTACCTTTATCACCTTGTCCCTATTCTTTTTTCATGTCTCATTTCATCCACATATAAGCTTAATTCTTTATATTTTGTCATTTCTTCACAAATTTACCTAAATCACGTTGTCAGCTTACTAACTCAAACACATGTCCCTTATTTATATACAGTCTCAAATGATTTTTTATACCTTTTTTTATTCAACAAGATATTTGAAATCATCAAGACATACCCTTGTATGGTCATGATAATAAAATATAATTGAAGAACCTCCTAGATATGCAGCATAATTGGAACCTTGGTTAAACACATCTCCATAATGTAGACCAACTGTGAAAAACTCACTTTGCAGTCCGACAAAACCAAAGAGAAAAGAGAGTTGATTAGAAGCAAAAATGCTAACAAAATACAACAAAATAATGCTAAAAAAACCCCAATTTCAAAACTTATACTAACCATATCTAGGAGTAGGAAGGTAGTTAAGCTCTTTTCGCCGCAATTTCATCTGGCAGTTGGGGACTTCAACTTCTAGAGTAATTTTCTCGATCAAATCACTACAAGAATAATTATTTTTAGTGGCGAAAATTTTTGTTGCTATATGTTCAAATGTCGTCACAAAAAATATTGTCGCTATTTGTTCGAATGTCGTCACAATAACCATTTTATAGTCATGACATTAATGTCGTCACTAAAATTAGTGTTGCTAATAATGATTATTCTTGTAGTGAATTGAGATTGTCCACATCATATTGCTTCAATGATTTACATTTTTTCTTCAGTGGTGGTTTAAATTGTTGCTTCACTGGTTAAGACTGAGAGGTCTCCTTCACCGATTGAGATTTCTCCTTGGTGGTTCAGATTTCTTCTTCACTGCTTCACATCAAGATTTCTCCTTCCCCGATTGAGATATCTCGTTCTCTAATTTAGATTAATCCATAAAGGATTTCACTTTTGTACTCACCATCTAACAATTTTGATTCTGTCGAATATCGAGAAATGGAGAATTATAGATTTAGGTTTAAACTACGTAGGTTTCTGAATTAGGGGCAAAATATTATGAGTTTCGTGCCTTTTATATTCTCACACGTAAACCACAATCATGCCATATAAGAGAAAAAAACTTAGCATGTCATGTCACGTCACATTTTTATCCAGGGTGTGGATAAGAAAAGACCAAAAATAAAATGTTCAATTTATTAGACTCAGTTTGAAAGTGGTCAATGACGAAGTGAAAAATTACTTTGACCAAATTATAGAAGCAATTTTCAATTTTATCTAGTATGTGTATATGTGCGCGAAAATCAATGATTGGGAGGATATGAGGACACTGTCCTTAGGGGCACTATCAAAATCCTTCCACCGGGAATTTTGATGTTTCCTTAAGGGCAGTATCCTCTTGCGCCTTTGGGCCCCTGATCTCACACACGCCCACATGAGTACGTGTGTATGTGTGCGGATATCAATGGGTGGGAGGATATGGGAACACTGTCGTTAGGGGCAGTATTGAAATCTCCTTTTCAACCTATGCTGAGATTTATTTTTTAGTTACTATTAACATTGAAAATCATTACACTTTCTGGTAAGCATACTTTTAATGAATGAGGTCATCCAAATTAATTAATGAACACACCAGTAAACATAATTATAATTCAAGCATGACAGAATATAACAGTATGTACGTACGACCATGACTGGTAAAGTTATAGGGACGAGATATCATGTTTTATTTTTATTTTCCATCACGTATTTTGAATATGAAATCGACATATGTCGTGCATCCAATGAAACAAAAACATAAAATGAAATAAAAGTTTGAAAGAGAAAATCTAAGTCACATTCCAGATGCGATGATGCATAACAAAAGTGATATATAAAATTTAATCCGCACTTACATGTAATTCATAACACAAGTACAACACTAAAATCACATTTTACATTCCATTTTCTCCGGCCATGGAACGTTACAGTAGGGGAAAGGAAACAACCACACAGAAAAACAAAAGAGAAGACACAAAAAAACAACACAAAAATACAGTCTTCTTTTTTTTTTTTTNAGTCGTAATTAGGTGGTTAACCAAATACGTATAAATAAAGTTAAAATGATACTTAAGGCTCATCTTCTTCCCCCTCTAACTGATTGTTGTTGTTATCCACCACAAAATTCCGGGCGTCAAGCCCGCCGGTGAAAGGATTTCCGTATTTATAACCATTGAGTTTATATTTTGGTTCGCTGTAACTCTTCTCCTGGTCGTTATTGTAACTCCGTTGAGGAATGTACTCTTGCTCATTATTTTTATGGTACATTGTATTTGTGGGATCGTATTTTTTGTCCTCGGTCGGCTCAAAAAACGTGTCTCTCTTCTTGTTGACCTCTTCTTTTCTTGTGGGATCGTATTTTTGGTCTACTGACTCCTGCTGGTTGTAATTATTTTCCTCTTCATACATGTTGGTGTCTCTGTAGGCTGTCGGCTTTTCGTTCCAACTGTTTGTGTAGAAATAGGTTTGTTGAGATTGGGCGTCGAGTTGTTGTTTCGCATGGTTCGGTTGTTCAAACTCTTGTGGGGCTGATTCCGTATTCAGATTCTCAAAAGCATTGTTGTCGCTGGGCGTCGAATGGGTGTTGTAGAGGCCATGGGGGAAGCTTTTTTGTTGTTCGAACGGGCGGTATTCGTATCCCGTGCTCGGTTTCTGTTTGTTTTCACCAAACGAGAATCTTTCGGAGAATTCGTTGAAGTTGCTCATCTCTCTCGCGTTGGAAAGGGATAGTGAGAGGGAGATTGTTATTATT